ACAAAGAGACAGGACTTCCTGGGTGGCACAGTGGTTAAGAATCCGCTTGCGAAGGCAGGGGACACGGGTTCGATCTCTGGTCTGGGAAGATCCCACATGTGGCAGAGCAACTAAGCCCATGCGCCACAACTACTGAGCCTGCGCTCTAGAACCTGTGAGCCACAACTACCAAGCCCATGTGCCACAACTACTGAAGCCCATGTGACCTAGAGCCCGCATACCGCAACTACTGAGCCCATGCGCTACAACTACTGAAGCCCACATGCCTAGAGCCCATGCACTGCAACAAGAGAAGCCACGGCAATGAGAAGCCCATGCACCGCAATGAACAGTAGACCCCGCTTGCCGCTAAGTAGAGAAAGGCCGCGTGCAGCAATGAAGACCCAACGCAGCCAAATAAATAAATAAATAAACAAAGAAACAGCCCAGAGAATGGGAGAAAATATTTGCAAGTGATGCGACCGACAAGGGATTAATTTCCAAAATATAAGAATGGCTCGTGCAGCTCAATATCACAAAAACAACCCAATCAAAAAATGGGCAAAGATCTACACAGACAATTCCCCAAAGAAGACATAGAGAGGGCCAAAAAGCACATGAAAAGATGCTTAACATCACTAATTATTAGAGAAAAGCAAATCAAAACTACAGTGAGGTATCACCTCACACCGGTCAGAATGGCCATCATCAAAAAGCCTACTAACAGGGCTTCCTTGGTGGCGCAGTGGTTAAGAATCCACCTGCCAATGCAAAGGACACAGGTTCGAGCCCTGGTCTGGGAAGATCCCACATGCCACAGAGCAACTAAGCCCATGCGCCACAACTACTGAGCCTGTGCTCTAGAGCCTGTGAGCCACAACTACTGAGCCTGCGTGCCACAACTACTGAAGCCCATGCACCTAGAGCCCATGCTCCACAATGAGAGAAGCCACCGCAACGAGAAGCCCACGCACTGCAACAAAGATTTTGCTTAAAGACATCTACATTTTAATTGGGGATTCCTGGGCACAGGGCGTGTGAACTTAAATAGCAGTTGCCCAAAAAGTTTTTGGCAATAAAACTCTTTTATCTTTAAATAAACTTAATTTAAAACCCAATTTATTAAAAAACGATAGTGGTACTATTATCCTATTAATTACTCAAATAACATTAATATACTTTTTAATAGTCAATTATTATTGGTTCATGTTGGGGGGCAGGAAAGAGACAAACCCACTTGTTCTCTTGGTCTCCCCCTCATATCATCTCGGTGACCTCTGAAGACCTTCCACAAAATCCCCAAGTACTGAGGAACACAGTTTGAAAACCCGTAACGTAAACTCTCATGTCAGGAATGTGTGGTAGATCCTCTCATCTTTTTTATTTTATTGTACTGGAGTATAGTTGCTTTATAATGTTGTGTTAGTTTCAGGTATACAGCAAAGTGATTCACTTATACATACACATATATATATATATTCTTTTTCAGATTCTTTTCTCATTTAGGTTATGACAGAATATTGAGTAGAGTTCCCTGTGCTATACAGTAGGTCCTTGTTGGTTACTTACCTTATATATAGTAGTGTGTGTATGTTAATCCCAAGCTCCTGGTTTATCCCTCCCCGCCACGTTTCCCCTTTGGTAACCATAAGTTTGTTTTCAAAATCTGTGAGTCTGTTTCTGTTCTGTAAACAAGGTCATTTATATGACTTTTTTAAAAAGTAGATTCCACATATGAGTGATATATGATATTTGTCTTTCTCTGTCTGACTTACTTCACTTAGTATGATAATCTCTAGATCCATCCACCTTGCTGAAAATGGCATTATTTCATTCATTTTTATGGCTGAGTAATATTCCATTGTATATACATACTACATCTTCTTTATCCATTCATCTGTCGATAGACATTTAGGTTGCTTCCACGTCCTGGCTAAGTTCTGAAAACCTTGTAAATAGTGCTACAATGAACATTGGGGTGCATGTACCTTTTTGAATTATGGTTTTCTCTGGGTATATGCCCAGGAGTGGAATTGTGGAATCATATGGTAACTCTGTTTTTGCAGCTCAATATCACAAAAACAACCCAATCAAAAAATGGGCAAAGATCTACACAGACAATTCCCCAAAGAAGACATAGAGAGGGCCAAAAAGCACATGAAAAGATGCTTAACATCACTAATTATTAGAGAAAAGCAAATCAAAACTACAGTGAGGTATCACCTCACACCGGTCAGAATGGCCATCATCAAAAAGCCTACTAACAGGGCTTCCTTGGTGGCGCAGTGGTTAAGAATCCACCTGCCAATGCAAAGGACACAGGTTCGAGCCCTGGTCTGGGAAGATCCCACATGCCACAGAGCAACTAAGCCCATGCGCCACAACTACTGAGCCTGTGCTCTAGAGCCTGTGAGCCACAACTACTGAGCCTGCGTGCCACAACTACTGAAGCCCATGCACCTAGAGCCCATGCTCCACAATGAGAGAAGCCACCGCAACGAGAAGCCCACGCACTGCAACAAAGAGTAGCCCCTGCTCACCATAACTAGAGAAAGCCCAGGTGCATTAATGAAGACCCAATGCAGCCAAAACAAAAAACAAAAAAAGACAGTGGACCAGGCTTGACTAGACATCATGGTACTCTTCACCACTGCACACACTTCAAAAAAAAAGAGTCTACAAAGTCTACAAACAATAAATGCTAGAGAGGGTGTGGAGAAAAGGGAACCCTCCTACACTCTTGGTGGGAATGTAAGTTGGTGCAGCCACTGTGGAAAACAGTATGGAGGTTCCTCAGAAAACTAAAACTAGAACTACCATATGATCCAGCAGTCCCACTCCTGGGTATATATCCAGACAAAACTAAAATTAAAAAAGATGCATGCACCCCTATGTTCCTAGCAGCACTATTTACAATAGCCAAGACATGGAAATAACCTAAATGTCCATCAACAGAGGAATGGACAAAGAAGATGTGGTACATATATACAATGGAATATTACTCAGCCATAAAAAAGAATGAAGTAATGCCATTTGCAGCAACATGGATGGACCTAGTGATTATCATACTAAGTGAAATCAGACAGAGAAAGAGAAATATCATATGATAACATTTATATGTGGAATCTAAAGAAATGACACAAATGAACTTATTTACAAAACAGGAATAGACCCACAGACTTAGAGAACGAACTTATGGTTACCAAAGGGGAAAGGTGGGGGTGCGAGATAAATTAGGAGTTTGGGATGAACATATACACACGACTATATATGAAATAGATAACAAGGACCTACTGTATAGCTCAGGGAACTCTACTCACTCCTCTGTAATAAGCTACATGGGAAAAGAATCTGGAAAAGAATAGATATATGTATATGTATAAACTGAATCACTGTTGTACACTTGAAACTAACACAACATTGTAAATCAACTATACTCCAATATAAAATAAAAATTTTTTAAAAAGTAAAAATAATCAAGATACTGGGAGAAGACAGAACCTAAATCAATGAAACAGAACAGACTTTTCAGAAATGAATTTACACAATATATTCAACTGATTTTTGACAAAGTTGTTAAGGAAAACACATGGAGGAATGATAGCCTTTTTTCAAAAAATGATGCTGAATATGAATAATAGCCTAAAAGACCTCTAAAAACTTGATAATATGAAAATAAAAGATAAACAATGAGACTTGGACATAAACTTGTACAGATACTTTATCACAGAAGATACACAGATGGCAACTGAGCACATTAAAAAAAAAAGGTTCAACAACATTTGTGATCAGGGAAATACAATCTAAAGTCATCATGTTATCCAATGTACATATTAGAGGGACTAGAATTTTAAAGTATAATGGACGCAGCTTCGATCCCTGGTCTGGGCACTAATATCCCACATGCTGCAGGGCAACTAAGCTCAGATGCCACAACTAGAGAGAAGCCTGTGCACCGCAGCGGAGGATCCCGCATGCCATAACGAAGATCCCGCGTGCCGCAACTAAGACCCGATGTGGCCAAAAATAAAATAAATATTTTTTAAAAATTAATAAGCCAATCCTAATTCAGAGAGAAATAAGAAAAACATTAGAAATATTGATATTGATATGAAGATGTGCTTTACTAAAATATGTGGGATTCCACTGACATGGTGTTCATTGGAAAATCCATATCCAAATCAAAAAGTTAGAAAATAATAGCAAAATAAACCAACAGAAGGATAAGAAAAAATTCAAAAGGGAAAAATACACTAGAAATTCTAAAAAAAAAATAAATAAATAAAAAATGCTAAAAAGAAGTCTGAAGTCTCAGGTGTGAAATAATAGCATATTAAGAGAATATCAAGAGATGAGAACATATTAAGAGACCATAAATAATTACATTCAGTAATAATTATGAGCTCCTACTATGTGCCTGGCACTGTGGTAGGTCCTGGGGATACAGAATGAGAAAAATAGACTTAGCCCCTCCTAAAGATTTATCTAATGGTAAAGATTGCCATTAAATAATTACAGGTGTAAAGAATTTCCTAGGGGAGAGTCTTAAGATTTCCAGAAATATCTAGCCAAGAGGGTTTGGGAAAACCCTTGAGCAAGTTTCTTTTAAGTGGAGATGTTAAAAATGAGTAGCAGTCAGCCAGGCAACGGAGAGAGAAAGGTCAAGAGAGAAACTGCCACAGACAGAACAACACACAAGAAAGCTCAGGGGAGAAACAGCTAGAGTAGAAAGAGAATGTAGAGCTGTAGAGATCATAATGGGAGAGAGAGTGGAACAAGATGAAGCCAGAAAATTCCCGAGAGCCCTGATCATGCAGGGTCTGGTGGGTGATGCTAACAGTTTTGCAATTTTTTGTAAATAGCAATGTATTAAGCAGCATTGTGCACGCCCTCCTCTACTTCACCAGTAAATATCTCAGGTGCTCAAAGAACATCAGGACCAACAGATGATTAATTTCATCTGATATACAGGCCTTCTTAGTATAAGGTATATTTATATCAAAGTGAAAATGTCTACTTACAGTATCAAGCATTTCTTTGGTATGAGCTGCTGACAGGCAAAACCTGGCTCTGGACTCAATGATTGGGGTAGCAGGAAATCCTACCACAACTACACCGATATTCCGCTTTAGCATCTCCCGTCCAAAGGCGCTGCAGAGGGAAAACAAGAAAAGAAACCAGGAAGAATAATAAAGCACACAGTACAAAGGCCTGCATGATGTAAACTCTTGGGTGATACAGGCACTAGACAGTTCTATTAGGAATTTCTTCTAACTTCCATGAAAGTTAAAACTGACAGTTTACAAAGACTTCTTTTATTCAATCCTAAAGTGGTCTTCTCCCAAATAGTTTCCTTCAGAAAGGTGAAAGAATATTGTTGGCACAGATCAATTTTTAATAGGGCTTGCCTAAAGTAATTTGCAACTGTAGCCTTAAGGTGTCACTGATATATAACAGTGGTTCAGAGGTTTCAAAATGAACTTGTTTAAAACCTGGTCCTTGAAATGTTAGGCCTGGCAGTTTAAAAAATTCTTAAGATTAAGGATGCAAAGGATCTGGACATCTTTCTGCTGGCAGAAAGGCCAAGCAGTAGCCTTCCAGGCCAGGCATTTTTTGGATCGACTTAAGTGTTGAGCTGCCTTTGTAATTCAGGGTTTCCTTTGGTGTTTGTGAGGCCAGCTCATCCCCAGCCTTCAGATGACCACCCAGACCACACAGTTCTTGTTTAACCCCCCATCCCAAGCCAAACTTGTGGCATGTGACCTTACTCTACATCTGTATCTTGCTTAATTAACACAATTTTAACTTTCATGTAAATTTTGTTATTTACTAAATTATGTTATTCTTTGTCCTTTTCTCTTGTTGACCTACCTTATTCCTTTCTGACTTTTCCCTTAGCTGTTTAAAGCATTTGTTTGAGAATAAAAAATTCCACTCACTTTAGTAATAGCACCAGCTTTCCCCACTCCTAGTAACAGTACATCCTCTTCAATGCATTTCCTTTGTGTCAGGCCAAGTCCTGCATCTTTAGCACATGCTCCCGAACTGTCTAGTGCTTTATTCCAATTCTGCCTTACTCTAAATCTTAATGTACATAGTCAGTTTCACCTGTATAGAATAAATTAGACACAGTCCTCTCTAAAGAAAGGGTTCTAGACTAAGTCAATCCTCCAGAACAGGTAACTTTTTGAGTTCATTTATGATGGTAATTCCATTTAAAGAAGAATGAGGGAAATCCTACACCTCTGCTTTGGTGTAGGATTCCCTCATTTCCTCCATCTCCTCTGAAAGCCATAATGCCAAGTGCCCATATGACTTCCTACTGGAAACTAAACTCCTCTTTTTCCCTCAATGAGCACCCTTTCCCAATATCCCCCCTTCACTAACTTTGGAATCACCATACTTCCAGGTTCCCTGATTTAATTTTCCCTCCTATATTCACTTTAATCAACATTTATTGAGTGCGTGGGGCTGTGGTGGGAGCTGGGGATTCAAAGATGAATAAAAATATTTGCTCCTTTAATGAGTTCCATTAAACCTGAGAAATGATCCTTACTCAATTTTATATTTACAATCCAGTCAAAACTCACAAACCTGAAAAGATGTGCCTTTCTTACTGAACCTATACTAAGCAGATGACTCCTTTATTTTATTTTTAAAATAAATTTATTTACTTATTTTTGGCTGTGTTGGGTCTTTTTTGCTACGCATGGGCTTTCTCTAGTTGCGGCAAGCGGGGGCTACTCTTCGTTGCGGTGCGCAGGCTCTAGTTGCGTGGGTTTCAGTAGTTGTGGCACACGGGCTCAGCAGTTGTGGCTCGTGGGCTCTAGAGTGCAGGCTCAGTAGTTGTGGCACACGGGCTTAGTTGCTCCGTGGCATGTGGGATATTTCTGGACCAGGGCTCGAACCCGTGTCCCCTGCATTGGCAGGCGGATTCTTAACCACTGCACCACCAGGGAAGTCTGACTCCTTTATTTTATATCTCTGGTGCAATTTTGCACATAATTATTAAATTATTAATTACTAAATTATTAAATAATTAGATTTGTCCACTTCATATCTGCTTTTCATATATATTTTGGTTTCGTTATACATCTGTACTTCTCAAATACATTGAAAGCTATTCCAGGGCAAAGATTTCCATTATACACGCCTTGCACAAGCCAGAGAGGCTGGTGTAAAGTGCATATCTGACCTCATGGCTCACTGCTCCCCCTTGGGCACTGCACTTCACCTCCACTCACCTCCTGCTAGTCTTCCATCAGCTAAGTATGTTCCTGCATTGTGGCCTTGGCACAGAATCTTCTTCCTCCAAGTGGCTAACTTGCTTAGCTAGTTCAAGCTCAGATGTCATCTTCCCTTACCCCTGAGGCTCTCCAGGGTGACCACCCCATTTAATACTGTAATCTGCCCACCCACAGTGCACTCTCAAACCCCATATCCTGCTCTATTTTTTCCTGTAGCCATTAACACCTTCTGGCATATTACATAATTTCCTTATTTATTAAGTTTGTCTGACTCATGCCCCAGTAGAGCATAAACTCCACAAGGACATGGATTTTTCTGTTTTGTTCACTGATCTATCTCAACCCCCCAGAAGAGTGCATTAAACTCAAATGTTTGTTTAAGGAAAGACTAACAAGTTAACATATTTTACAAATTGGAATCCACTTGTTTAATCTATGGCAGATCTAGTAAACAAACGTTAACATAATGAGGCCAAGACAATTTTACCTAACAAAATATATAAGCCTGGTTTCACATCATGGTAAACCTTAAGTCTAATAAGAGGGCAATCTGTAATCTGCAAAAAGGTACCCAATTTTGGCTGGCATGTAGAGCATCAGAGGCACCACTGGAGAATCTTCATTTCCATAGATGATGAAGCCCATATTTTTCAGACGTCTCCTGAAATATCTGACGTTTTCAGCTAACTGCTGGATACACTCTTTGCCTGGAAAATCATGGCGAGGGGGAAACAAAATAATACTAAGAAAGAAGAAGTGGAAAAAGACAGCAATTTCCTCCATCTCTATTCTATCAATCAATCCTATGTTTTGTTTCTTCCTTTCCCATATAAAATATTTTTGCACAGTAAACTGTATGGAATATAAGTAGAAACAAATATATCTTGCGTTTGTATTGTCATAGTGGGTGTTGACAGCAGATTTTATAGTAATGTACAAAATAAAGTTTAATGACCAGTATTTCCATGGCAAATGGAAACCTGAAATGTTTAGCATCTTCAAACATTTTCATTGATACCACCTCATTTAACACTCTACCACCCCTTTACAGTAGGTTGGATAATTATCATCATTTTCATTTTATATATTAGGAGACTCACAAAGGTTGTGACTGGCCTACAGTTACACAATAATGAGTGGCACAGCTGACTAGAAGCTAGGCCTCTCAACTTCAATATTCATTCCAAAAACCATGCTGCAAATAATTTTACCCATAAGACCAGAGACAGAACCATTCAGAGCCCCATATTTTCCTCTTAAGAGTTTAGGTTACCATTTCCCTAAAACTTCTACCAGACAGCAATAGCATACACATATAATAATGTAAAAATCATATTTTTAATCCTACTTTGTTCATCTTCCCTAAAACACAAATGGATTAAGACACACATTTCTCTAACTGCTGATTGACTAAATATTTGGCCTGGTTTTGACTTTATGGTAGGTCAATCTATGAACAGATGTCCAAAAACAATCGTTCTGTTACAGAGAGCAAGACATAAATTCAAAAGATCAGCTTGCAAAGGGCTAAGAACTGTTTTATGGTTTTCTAAATCACAAATACTCACAAATAAGAAAAGATTGCAGTCATTTTCACATATATTAGAAAGCCAGCAAATTCATATTTAAAAAAATACAACCATACAGCTCAAAGGTAAGTTAATCAATTGCAAATACAGATGACTAACAAATGCCCTTAGAATCAAAACACTAACATATCTGTCATTGATGGGAAACTACTCTAGATAAGTTTGCTACAAATAACCCCAAATTAATACTCTATATGTAAATAATTTCAAGTTGACCGGAGAAGCACATACAAGCTTAGATTAGTTTAGTGTGAACACTGAAGAACATCACTTAAGTTATGACATACATCTTACACATATTAAAACAGACATTAAGGTATGTTAAATTTATGTTGACAATTGATGAGCCACGTACTCTAATTTTCCCCTAGAAATACCAACACATGCTTACTCTACATTTAGAATAAGAGACTTCCACTTCCAGCCATGATAAAGTACTAGGAACCAGATTTTCTTTCCTGTTTGTAAACAACAGAAAGCTGGACACAGTATATTACAAAATGGTTTTCAGACACTGGGCCCCAGGCAGTGGAGGACTGTGCTGCTGGAGAGAAGGGAAAACAGAAGTGAGTCTCTGGATTGTCCCCATACCACCTGGAGACGGGTCCCGGGCTGCTCCAGGAGTGGGGACCTAGTCTTGTCAGTCGAAGACATCAGATTTTGGAGTTGGGGAGGCTAAGGTGGCTAGAATTTACTGGGCACACAACAGGGGAGGAGGAAGGTGCACAGAGAGACCTTTGGGGGTCTACAGAAGAGCATTTGGCAAAGTGTTGATCTGAACACGTATGAGAAGAAACTATGAGGGGCTGGAGAAAGCTCCAGCAGAAAGCAGCAGACCGAACAATTCCCAGCACTCATACAGTTGGGAATAGCTTCTATTTTCACCAACCAAAATGGAAAGACCTCAGAATCACACTAGTAGTGGAGCTAAATTAGCCCTTGACTAAAAGTTGCTCTGGCCCACCCTAACACCCCTTAAAAGCAAGTCTTAAAAGGATCCAATTGATTCCAAGAACAAAGTCCAACATTATTGCCTAAATGAATACAAAATGCAGCCCCTAATAATGTAAAATTCACAAGGTGTGACGTATAATAAAAAATTCTAGGCATTCAAAGAAACAGGAAAATATGACCCACCAACTAGGAGAAAGGTCTATCAATAGAAACAGACCAGAAATGACAGAATATTAGCAGACAAGGATACAAAAATGCTATTACAAATATACTCCATACATTCAGAAAAGTAGAGGAAACATGATGAAAGAGAAAGAAAATACATAAAAAGGGAACAACTGATACATGCAAAAATGATGAATCTCAAAAGGATTATGTTAAATGAAATAAGTCAGACACAAAAGACTATACTCTTGTGAATTCATTTATAGGAAATTCTTAAAAAGACATAATTACAATGATAGAAAACAGATTAATGGTTGCCAGGGAATGGAGAGAGGACCGACAGCAGAGCGGTATGAAGGGGACTTTTCAGGGGTGACAAAAACATTTTATACTTCAGTTATGGTAATGGTTACATGACTGCATACATTTGTCAAAACTCATGGAATTACACACTTAAAATTGGTGAATTTTATTGTATATAAATGATATTAAAGATTTTTAGAAACTGAGTGACACATTTGCTAATTTAGTGTACATTAATTTTTCCTGTACCACTTATTATTTTACAACTTGCTACCTTTTTCTTATCAAAAACTAACTACCTTTTGTTAGAATATTTTTTTCTTATTCCAAGATTATCAAGAAAAATTATCAAGGAAAACAAGAAATGCTAAGAGATTTAGACCTTACCTTTTCCACCTATGGCTATATCATTCTAAGCAAGTTCTCTGTAACAAAAGCAAGTGGAAATCTCAGTCTCACCATTCATTGTCATCTGTTCCTTGACAAGAAGAGTCCCAAAAGAAAACACATCTAAAATAACATTCATAGGCAAAACTGGAAGATACTGAGAATAGGTATTTAAAATTCCCAACTTACATATCCTTATTATTGCTGAATAGTATTCCTTACCAAAGATATACCACAATTTGTTTACCCATTTATGTGTTAATGGACATTAGAGTTGAGATTACCAACTTTCATTTTGGCAGTTATAAAGTTCAGATTTTAAAGAATTCTCTCTGAGGGACTTCCCTGGCAGTCCAGTGGTTAAGACTCTGTGCTGTCAATGCAGGGGGCACAGGTTTGATCCCTGATCAGAGAACTAAGATCCCACATGCCATGTGGTGCAGCCAAAAAATTAAAAAAAAAAAAAAAAAAAAGAATTCTCTCCTAAATAGAGGATGTGGATAAAAGGGACCCCTGTACACTGCTGGTGGGAATGTAAATTGGTGCAGACACTATGGAAAACAGTATGGAGGTTCCTTAAAAAACTATTGATAAAAATAGAACTACCATATAATCCAGCAATTCCACCTCTGGGTATATATCTGGAAAAAAAGAAAACACTAATTCTAAAAGATATATGCACCCCAATGTTCACAGCAGCACTGTTTACAGTAGCCAAGACATGAAAGCAACCCAAGTGTCCATCAACAGATGACTGGATTAAGAAGATATGGAATATATATACAATGGAATACTACTCAGCCATAAGAAAGAATGAAATAATGCCATTTGCAGCAACAGGGACGCACTTGGAGAATATTATGCTTAGTTAAATAAGTCAGACAGAGAAAGACAAATACTATATGGTATCACTTATATGGGCATATATCTGGAAAAGACGAAAACTCTAATTCTAAAAGATACGTGCACCCCAGTATTCACAGCACTATTTACAACAGCCAAGACATGGAAGCAACCTAAATGTCCATCAACAGATGAATGGACAAAGATGTGTGTGTGCGTGTGTGTGTGTGTATACACACACAGTGGAATATTACTCAGCCATTAAAAAAAGAACTAATGCCATTTGCAGCACCATGGGTGGACCTAGAGATTATCATACTAAGTTCAGACAGAGAAAGACAAATATCATATGATATCACTTATAAGTGGAATCTAAAAAAATGATACAAATGAACTTATCTACAAAACAGAAATAGACTTACAGACTTAGAAAACAAACTTATGGTTACCAAAGGAGAGAGGGAAGGGGGGGAGGGACAAATTAAAAGTATGGGATTAACAGATATAAACTACTATACATAAAATAGATAAGCAAAATAATTTATTGTATAGCACAGGGAATTATACCCATTATCTTATAATAACCTATAATGGAATATAATCTGCAAAAATAATGAATCACTGTGCTATACTCCTGAAACTAACATAATATTGTAAATCAACTATACTTCAATTAAAAAAAATTCTCTCCTAAATATTTATTTAAGCATCTTAGTCTCATGCCCAAATAAGGGAAGAATTACTATAATTAGCAACTAACAACTCAGTTTCATTTGCTTCTAACTGCTTTAGGTGGATATGGTAAAAGAATGTACTACAGTTGACCCTTAATCCACATATATTTATAGTCGGCCCTCCACCGCTGAGGTCTGCAGATTCAACCAATCAGGGACCACGTAGTACTGCAGCATTTACTGTTGAAAAATATCTACATGTAAGTGGACTCGGGCAGTTTAAACCTCTGTTGTTCACAGGTAAACTGTATTTATACTTTATACACAAAGAAACAGGCCCATAAATGTTAAACTACTTTCTCTAAGGCCTTTCATTCAGTAGGAGGAAGATCAAGGTTCTGACTCCCGTTTAGCGCTTTTTCTTCTACACCACAGCAAGAAATTATGTACTTTTCAAACTTTAAAGTGTTTAACCCTTTATTGGGTAACAATATCTGTATTTTACTTTTTAAACGGCACTTACTAGCAAATGAATAGGATAGGGATGAATGGGTGAAGGAGCCTAAGACACAGGGCAAGTATGAGACAGGTGGAAAGTAGTTCTTGCAATAAACTCATCTGGAATAGCAAACTGCAATCATCACTGGTGAGTAGGGAATAAAGACTGAGGGGAAGAATCAAGACTAGTGCTGGAGAAAGAAGCAAACTCAATTAGAAATAGTGGTCATAGTGAATCCCAGAAATTAAATGGTCTGTTTATCCAACAAAACTACTAGGCTGAACCATGAAACT